CAAACATGATGTGAATGACCAACTGTAAGTTTACATACAATTTGTATAATGAACCTCCATGGCTAGAAAATGATATAAAACAATAAAGCCCAGAGGACTATTTATTGGCTTGATCATTCTTTGGGGAATGCATTAAAGATGAAAGAACTACTAAAATCATGTTAAAATCTAGCTTATTGTCATACATTTAGCTTTTTGTTACTAAACTCACATTCTGAAGAACCAAGAAGAATGTTCTAGCCTCCATTGTTTGCTTCCCAGAGGCCAACCCAGTCTATCTTTATTTGTAAGTTATTTGGCTGGCTCCCGTTCCCGTCCAGTAAAGATAAGACTTCATGAAGACATACCATTCTCTGTAAGTGCTATATTGCTAAATAAAGGCTTGTTGCTAATCAGAGTGTACCACTTGGGAAACTCATTCCACCATTTGGAAATTAAACTTGCTTTTGGTTCTGGATACAAGACACTACATAGAAGAATTCTGCTTCTAATATGGAAGAATAAGCTCCTAAAAAATAATCCTCCCATGGATAATAATTAAGACTCTGGACAAGATACAAAAAATACAACAACAACAACAACAGCTACCTGAGGGCTCTAAAAGAATGAACAATTGCAGGCATTTGGGATGGCAGTTAAAGTCTAGAGGAAACAACCAGAATGAGTTTCCTGGTTTTCCCTGGCTGTAGTCACCATAACAGTGGCATAGGGTCACTAAAATTCTGATAGAAAGTCCATTGTTTTCCTTGTTAGAGGAACCAGGGGAAGGAACCCAGGTAACCCTGGTGAGACCACAGGTAGAGAACCAGAGAAGAGGAATTCTGTGTGTAAACTTGGCTCAAATTGTTGTTGTTGTTGTTGTTAGGCGCCATCGAGTCAGTGTTGACTCCTAGTGACTCTGTGTACAACAGAATGAAACGCTACCCAATCCTGGGCTAACCTCACAGTTATTACCACGCTTGAGCCCATTGATGCTGCCACTTTGCCAATCCATTTCTCTGGGGGTCTTCCTCTTTTTCTCTGACCCTCCACCTTACCAAACATGATATCCTTCTCCAGTGACTGGCCCCTCCTGACAATATGAGAGACAAAGTTTGGCCATCCTGGCCTCCAAGGAGCACTCTGGCTGCACTTCTTCCAACACAGATCTGTTGGTTCTTCTGGCAGCTCATGGCACTTTCAATATTTTCCTTTAACACCATAACTCAAATGCATCAATTCTTCTATAGTCTTCCTTATTCACTGTCCAGCTTTCACATGCATATGAGTTTATTGGTCAGCCACACCTTAGTCTTCAAGCTGACATTTTTGCTCTTCAACACCTTAAAAAGATCTTGTGCTGCAGATTTGCGTAATGTAATACGTTGTTTGATTTCTTGACTGCTGCTTCCATAAGTGTTGATAGTTGATCCAAGAAGAATGAAGTCCTTGACAACTTCAATCTTTCTCTGTTGATAAGGTTATCAGCCCCTAAACCATGTGTGCTGAAGGCGGTCTGAGCTGAGATCTGAACCACCACTCATCACAGGCAGGCTTTTCAGTTTGGGTCTAATGCAGTTAAAGCAAATATTAACAACATAAATTCAAACTGTACCGGATATCTGTACCAGATATAATCCCAAATGATTCAATATATAAAGAACCAGGAGACTAGAGCTCATTCTCAAAGGGAAAGACAACTCGTAGATAGTAATCCTGTGGTGTCCCAGGTGTTAAAATGGTCAAACCAAGTACTTTAAAGCAAGTTTAATCATTGTACTCAGTTAAGGAAAGAAAAATATGCCCATCATAAACAAAAATATCAAAAATATCATCAAGAGAAATAGAAAACATGACAAAAGATCCAAATGGAAATTTTAGAACTGAAAATTATAGAATCTAATATAAAAATGACACTGAATGAGCCTAACAGAATGGAAAGGAAATAGTAATTTTGACTTTTTTAAGAGAAAGTATTAAATCTGGGGGAAAAAATAATAGAATCATGATTGAAAACTAAAACCTGAACAGAGCCTTAAGGGTCTCTTGGAAAATTCCAGAATGTCTAATATATGTGTAATTGTTGTTGTTGTTGTTGTTGTTGTTGTTAAGCGCTGACTCATAGTGACCCTGTATAGGGTTTGTGAGGAGTAGCTGGTGAGTTTGAACCACCAGCCTTGCTGTTCAAACTGACCTTGCAGTCTGGTGCTTATCCTATAGCGCCATACCCTATAACTTGTGAAACAGCTCTGCGCTGTTCTGTAGAGCCAGTATGTGTCCGAAGTGGGTGGGTATCCTCATGAACTCAGACACAACTGTTTAACAAAACGTTGGCAACAATCAAATCCAACAATATATAAAATGGATAGTACACATTAAGCAAGTTGGGTTTTTCCCAGGAATGCAAACTTAGTTGGTTGTTTTTTAACATTTGTATACCAATGAATATCATCACCATATTAATAGAAATAAACTGTATGATCATTTTAATAGACGTATAAACACTTGAAAAAATGCAAAAAAATTTTTGATTTAAAAGAAAACATTTCAGCAAAACTAGGAATTAAAGGAAATATTCTTGGGTTAATTAAACACATGAAACCCCTCCGCCAAACATTGTACTTCATGGTGACATATTGACTCTTTACCTTTTAGGCAAGTTCACACAGATATTAATTGTAGCACTATTCATAATAGCAGAAAGATGGAAGCCACCGAATGTCCATAAATGGATGAACAAATTATGGTATATACACACATTTAAAAGTGTCAATGAATCTGTGAAACGCTTCTTAACATGGATGAATTTGGAGGACATTATTGTTGAAGTGCTGTCGAGAAGGTTCCGACTCATAGCAACCCTGTGTAAAGTTTCAGAGGAGTGGCTAGTGAGCTTGAACCTCCAACCTTACAATTCAAACCGACCTTACAGTCCAGCGCATTAACCCACAGCGCCACACCAGGACTCCTGCTGTTGTTTGGCGGTGGTGGTTATGTGCTGTGGAGTTGGTTCCGACTCACAGCGACCCTGTACAGGGTTTCTGAGGCTGTAAATCTTTACGGGAGCAAAAAGCCTCATCTTTCTCCTGCGGAACTGCTGGTAGTTTCTAACTGCTGACGGTGAGGTTAGCACCAACTTGTAAATTCCTGGCAAACTTCTGTACAGCTGAATGAAATGTTGCCCAGTTTTGTCATCCTCACAACTGCTGGCCTGTTTGAGTTCATCATGGCTGCTATCGCACCAGTCCATCTAACTGAGAGTCTCTACTTGGCCCTCTACTTGACCAAACGTGGTTCTTCCTCCTGGTGACATGTCTAAAGCCAGCGAGGTAGACTTTATTCTGTTGTGATCCATATGTTTTCATTGACTAATTTTTAGAAGTAGATGATTCGTGCTAGTCTGTCTTGGTCTGGAAGCTTCACTGGAATCTATCTGCCAAGGTTGATTCTGTTAGTATTTGTATGAAATAATGTTGAAGTAACACTTCTACCACCACAGTATGACGAACTGGCAGACGGGGTGGGCATAATTGAAAGGAGGTCAGTCAGGAAAAAGGCACGTTTTTCCTGATAGCATTAGATCATGTGCTACAATGTGGGGAGGACAGTGGGGCTCAGGAGGAGATGGTCCTGGCATCCCTCAGGCCTAGGCGTCACCCTACCCACGCAGTGTCCAGTTCCTACTACCCTGGAGAGTCCAGCGGAAAGTAAAAACAGAGCAGGTGCTTTTCACCTGCTTTACTGCCCAACCCCTTCCTCTCCCAGGAGTCCCCACAGCCCAGAAGCTCATGAGTACTACAATGTGGGGAGGCTGGTCGGGGTGCTGGCCATGGGGCCCGTCCCAAGACTCGGAGTAGGATCACCCAAACTACAGCTTCTCAGCCTGCTGAGAGGCCACAGCAAGGATGTCCATCCATACTGTGTCTAGTGGCATCTTCAGGACCTAGAACAATTTCAGATGTGTGCTGCTCTGCTCCATGTGCTTTCATTGGGTTTGAAATTTCATCCCAGAAAGCCTCTCTAGAGATAACCTTTATGTGTTAAAATATTGAGCCAGCTGTGTTTGGGAGAGATTATAATTATGGTGACCACCTTGCCAGTTACCAGAAGCTTGTTAAAATGTCCGCTGACACAGCACTTACAAAGGGGCTTCAGAATTCCATTACCTGTTCATTCGGCTTTCCGCTAACTTTTTGAAGCCCCCTGGTACTTTGAGTAGTAGGGCAGCTCTGTGGCTTTCCTCTTGTGAAGGTGGGCATGTCTGAGTTCCTTGGGCGCCATCAAGTGGGGGCTTCAAAGAATGGAAGTTTGCTCTCATTCTTCTGGAGGCTGGAAGCCCATGACCAGGGTATCAGTCGGTTTTGTCGATTCCTTCTGAGTTTCTGAGGACAATCTGTTCCAGACCTCTCTACCTGCTGTTAGTGATGGCCAGCAATCTCTGCCATCTGTCCTCTGCCTCTCTCTTGCCTTTTCTCTCTAAGGACAGCACCCAGATGGGATTAAGGCCCACACTACTCCAGTAGGGTTAACTCTGATTAACAGTTAACACTGTTCGCTAACAACATCTTCAGAGACCCTGTTTCCAAAGAGGGTCATGTTCACAGGTCCTGGGGGGGTTAAAGGATACAAGTCAGACCATAACACTGAGCTTAAATACTAAACTAACTTATTGGGAAGCAAACCTCTTGACCATCCCAGTTACTCCTCTGCTCAGCCCTACTTCCACATCATGGAGGATGAGCTGAAAGCTGTTGGAGGAAGGAGGGAATTCTGTCCTGCACCTGGTGACTCCCCTATTCCCCTTCCCATCTCCCACAGTGGGCCTCACCTGTTCTGATCTCAAACCACAGTATGTAGGACTCCACAGAGCCCAGGTGGACACATCTCCTAGTCGCCCCAGAGGCCCCAGTCATGGGACCAGCAGGTCATCTTGAGCAGCAGTGGGCAGAGTAGGGTCCCTGCAGGCCACCCTTCACCACAGCCCACAGTGCCCCTCTGTGTTGCAGACGCTGTACTGGGACATGGCACTTCCTCACGTCTTCCTACTGGCCGGAGTCCTGGTGGAAGTCACCAGCACTTCCACAGAAAGTGTGGTAGGTGACCCAGATGTGTAACGTGAGGTTTGGGTCCTTGCCCAAACCCTCACCCCAACAGTCACTGACTCCCCAGAGTCCCAGGACAGTGCTTCAAGTTTGTCTTAGCACCAAAGCAGTGGCTAATGGGGCACAGCATATGGCAGGTACTTTTTTGGCCTCAAACTAATCTCTCAACCAAGCAGAAACTGCTGTGACCAACATGGGGCCTTGACAGCTGCCCCCAGGGTTGATGAGAGTCCACCAACTGCCAATCCTTGGGTAGACTCGTCCTGAGGGGGGTTGGCATTGGGTAGGGATCTCTGAAGGACTGCTCTCCAAGCTGGTGCCAACCACTGTGCACCCAGCCTTTGCTCCCCAAGCGGGCAGCAGTGCACCTCTGCCATGGTACAGCCCCAGGACTGGGACGTGTCTTATGGCAGTACGTCCACCATCCACCCTGGAGAGCTGCAGTCCGGAGAGGGCCTTCCCTCGCTTGGTTAGCCAGGACTGCCACAAGACTCTGCTGTGCCTGGTCAGGGCTCCATCACAGACATGGCTCCTCCATGCCTCAGGTCCCCCAGGTGCCCCTCACTGCTCTCTGGGGCCAGGCACCAAACCCAACACCCAGTCAGGATATCAACCAAAATGCCGCAGTGCCTGTGGCTCTATCCGGGTGCTGTGTGGCAGCGAGGTGTCCTCACCGCTCCCTCTACTCCACACCCTCCCAGGTCCAGCAGCCCGAGTGTTGTGTGGAGGTGGCAGATGTCAATGCCACTTGCCCTGGCACAAGCCTGTGCGGTCCAGGTAAGTAGCCCCAGCAAGCCTGTGTGTCAGGGTGGCCCCTCACACTACGCCCAGGCACTTGGAGGGCGGGGGAGTTGGCATGGTCCGCAGTCAGACAGGTGAAAGGTGTCTGAAGAAGAGGAACATTGGATTTCCTCCTGAGGCTTCATGGAGGGTGACAGCAGACTTGGGGGAGGGAGGGAGGCCACACAGTGTGGAGAGGAGCAGGCATGCAGAGAGGAGGTCTGTCAGGTGAGGAAGGGTCCACAGGAAGGGGTAGGACACAAGCCTAGAGACCAGCGTGCCCAGAGCTCTCAAGCCTCCACATGGCATCTGCATGGAGACTGAGCAGCCTGGGGGCATTTGGAGGGGCTTGGGGCTGAGGCCTGGGGACTCGGAGTTGGCAGACGGGCCTGTCCACAGAGAAGCTGCAAGGCTGGGAGCAGGTGCAGCCCAGCCACAAGGAGCGTATGCAGAGCTTGAGGATGCTGGGGTGAGGCCAAGTGGAGGGTGCCGGGCAGGGCCTGTGGAGCAGCACCCTACACATCCAGAACTTAAGGACTGAGACACCCCTACGGGCCCCGCCCCCTCCTGGTGCAGGTTGCTACAGGCACAGGGCTGAGGATGGGAGCGTCAGCTGCCTCCAATGCCGCAACGCCACCTATCCGGCCACTGCCACCAACAGCTCCGAGTGCAGAAGCCGTAAGTTATCATCAGCTCAGCCCCCCAAGCTTCCTGCCCCCCAGTCCTGGTCCTACTGTGGCAGTCTCGAGGCCCTGACCTCTCCCTGCCTGCCATGCAGTTCTGACACCTCCACTCTCTTCACAGCCTCTAGCCGGGCTGACCCCTTCCCCACAAACAAGAGCACAGGGACGCCTGGGCTGCCAGGTCCTGGTGAGTCACCCAACCTCCACACACAGGAGTTCATAGCTTCAGCTGTGCTTGGTGTGCAAGGTGTGGGGAGGGTTATGGGGGCCCGGGGCCATTGCTGGAGCTGGTCCCAGGCAGGCCCATCCTCATCCAACTCCTGTATGGGGGAAAATGGGGAGCCAGTGGGGTCCCAGGCCCGGAGGACTGACCCTTGCTCTGCTGCAGAGGGGTCCCGGGTGGTTGCCTCGCTCTTCCTGGGGACACTCTTCATCAGCTCCGGCCTCATCCTATCTGTGACCATGTTCTTCTACCTCAAGCGCACCAGTAAGCTCTCCAACATCTGCTACAGAAGGAACGAAGGTGTGTCCCTCATCGGGGCGGCACGGGCGGGAGGAGGGCGGTCAGCTGAGGATACTGCCAGGCAGGACGTGGGGTGGCCTCGAAGACCACCTCGTGGACCGTTCGGCCAGCAGCGCTCTCTCCCCCCACAGCCCCAGCCCTGCAGCCCAGTGAAGCCGTAAGTAGCCACCCGACTCCAGCTGCCCATGCCTGCGCCCATCCCTGCGGCCAGCCCTGTCACTCACTGTGCCTTTCTTTCTCCTCAAGGCTGCGATGATCCACCCGTTGCAGTCTTCAGGTAATGTCACACAGCTCACCTCTGCCCATCCCCATCTCTGGGAGTCACATCCCTGGTTAACACAAGTCCCCTCAGCAGTGTCCCCTTTGGCTTTTAAAGCCCTGCAGGGCAGCATCTTCACTTGGCCCCTTTCCATGATCAGCTGAGGGCTCTTTTGTCTCCCATGTGCTCCTGTGACACTGAGCTTATGATGCGAGAAGGAAAGCCCTCATGGGTGCCATGCCAGCTGTGGCCACACCAGGGCCTGTCCCAGCACAGAAAGGCACTGGCCCACTCATACTGGAATCACACAGTGCTGGACACAGAGCAGAGTTCAGACCAGGCCCTCAGAACCCAAGTTCTCAGCCCGTGTGCAGTGGGCTGGGGATAGGGGACAGACAACAAGTCTTGTTCTTTAGGAACAAAGGTGGCTGGTTAGTATATCTAGAGCAGGTTAGAGGTTTCAAATGGAGCAGCGGAAATTTCTCAGGGAGTTAGGCCTGCTTGCTTCACCCCTAGGAGTGCCGACCCCATTCAACTAGGTTCCACTGGAGTGAGCAGAGCCCACTGGGTATATGCTCCAGAACAAAACCCCGCTGTAACCATGCTTCCCAAGTCTCAAAACCAGCCCAGCCTACAGCACCTTGAATCTAAGCCTCCGAGGTACCTGGGGCTGCTGGGCATGCGCACACTCTGCTTAAGACAGCTTCACAGTTCTAAAGGCCAGGAGGCTAAAATCCGGGTGTCAGCCAGGCCCTGCTCCCTCAGGAGGCTCTAGGAGAAAGATCCTCCCTTCCTTCTTCCAGCTTCTGGTGGCTTCACGACTCCCATCTCCATGCCTATAGGCACTTGGCCTCCATCTGTCCTCTGTCCTCTCCACCTTAGGAAGGGTGGGCCTATTCACAAGTCAACTCAGTGGGAGTGAATAGGAATCCTGCCCACACTACCCTGCTGACTTGCCTCACCTGGCCCTGACCCAAGCCCTCTCTGGTTCATTTTAGTGCGGAAGCCACGTTACGTGAGGCGCGAACGACCCCCTGACAAGCCAGTAGGTGCTGCAGCTATCTCCTCAGTGGAGGCCCGAGTCAGCAGCGTCTAAACCAGAGACCAGCCAGCGAGTGGACCAGGATAAGCCCTGAGGCCTGGGGGTGCCTGGACTGTGCCCTGTTCTCAGAGCTGGCTCTGCCAGCAGCAGATACCATGAGGGAACCCAGCTGTAACTCCCTGGAATCCGTCTTTTCTATTCTATTACTCAGGTGGAATGATGGGGAGTGGGCTTCACTGCGAAGGCCAGGTGGTGGCCTGAAGGCTGGACACAGACCTGGGCAGCAGGCGGGTGAGCCCCTGAAGAGTTAGAGGAACTCGGGCCCCCCCCAGCAATGGGTAGCGCTGAGCCAGGCAGGTGGGGCTGGAATTGGCGATGGCAGACTCCCACACTGTCCTTACACTCCGGCCAGCAGACCCAAGGTTCCAACTACTTCATGCCCAGATACTTCACTGTGCCCCAAGGGGGCATGAGACTCCAGCCTCACTAGCCCTGGCTGCCTTGGAGGTATAGGGCCTGGGGGGAACTGGGGGGTGGTGAGACGCTGAACTGCTGATGTGGGTGTGAGGCCTCCTCAGGCTCCAGCAGATATGTGTTATATGGAAACAGCTTACCACAAGGTGTGTTGGATCCCCTCCCTCTGATCCCTCACCTCGGGCCAGGGTCCCTCATCTGTCTGGGACAGTGGCAGGTACCATGTTTTCACTCAGCATTCCTGCACCTAAAATCTCATGACCACGTTTTCTGTGGCCACTACATGGAATGTTTCTGGTGTCCTGAACGTTCCCTGGGCAGCATCCTGGTCATGGGTCCCTGCCTGCTGGGGATCCCTCAAGGCCCTGCCCAGTCTCTGGGCTCTGGGATTCTTTGGTCACCTCAAAGCTGGCACTTCAAGTCCGGGGATATCAGAGTTCTCTGCACTGTGACAGCCATCTGTTGTCATTAAGTGCCATCGAGTTGGTTCCGACTCACAGCAACCCTGTATAGGGTTTCCGAGGAGCTGCTAGTGAGTTTGAACTGACAACCTTGTGGTTCAAACCGACTTTGCGGTCGACTGCTTATCGTACAGTGCCACACCAGGACTCTGTGACAGTCATCTAGAGAGTTTTATTTTTATATCGTCACTTTGCTATGCACTTGTTTCCCAGGAGTAAACTATGTGTCATCCAGGTGCAAAGACAGGCATGCCATCTTAAAACCGCTGTCAAAACTATAGGAAGCTTTTCTGTCCTTCTTAAATGAGGGGGGTGGGGTTTATTGTGAGTTGCTGTCTGTCTGACAAAGGGTGACCCTTGGTGGTGAGAATAGCGAAGTGCTTGGCTGGACAGGTTAGCAGTTTGAATGACCCAGAGGTGCCTCAGAAGACGGGCCTGGCAGTGTGCTTCCCAAAGATCTCAACCTTGAAAACTCTATGAGGTAGTTCTACTCTCCTCACAGGGGGCTGCCATGAAAAGAGGGAAGATGATGCCTGGGAACCCCTGGTCCAGCCCTGGTCCTGCCTACCACCAAGGGACCCAAACAGCGCACCACCCCATATGCTGGGATCAGAAGGTCTTGTCAGTGCAAACCCCCTCCCCTTCCCCTACTGGCATGCAGCCCCCTTCCCTTGAGACAGTGTCATCTCTAGTCCACAGTTCTCAGCATGGGAGCCCCTCCCACCAAGTGAACCTGAATGAGCAACGTTATAGGAGCTTCACTGGTGGCTCTCCTGCGCATGCCTAGGTCATCTGGGATCTAGGACTTGAAACCCCCTGGAGGCAATGGCCACCTGCAGCTTCCACTCCCACTTCTCCCAGGACCTAAACGCACACCCCGCTCTCTTGTCCCCACCCCCAAGGGCCACCTCCACAGAGGGACTGGACACCTAAAGTTCAGTTGGGTGGGCCAGGAGCCAAAGCATGAGAGAAGGAAACTTAGACTAGATAGGCAAACCCTTCCTGGGCGGCCTTCAGGAGGAAGCTTTCAACCTTTAATGCAGGGAGGAGGAGGCCCGAGAGCGGCCAGTCTATGTCATTGAAGAAAGCAGAGCCCAAATGGGGCAAGGAGGTCCCAGGAGGGCTTCTGTCCTGTCTCCCCCAGGAGCCCTCACCCTGACAAGGGAAGGTCACCATAGCCCCACCCATGCCAGTTGGCACCCCAAGAGTTGCCCTCGATTCTACCTCACTGGGTGCAATCTGATGGCCCCAGCCAGAATGCTACTTGGTCTACAGCATCACTGCCTTCCAGTGAGCCCAGTGACACTTGCAGCTGCTGGCTCTAACTCAGACCCCTCTAACACACAGGTCTGCTTTGGGGAGGGAGGTACCCACAGAAGATGGCAACTGCAAAACCATGCTTGGCTGAGAACAGTCAGGTTGCTGACTGAGTGTGCATCCTCCACAGAGTCTCTCTTCCCGGGTAAAAGCCCATCCTCTGCCACCACCTAATGGCTGATTCCGTCTGGACTGTGTCCCCCAAACTCTGGCCCCACGATCACTCTTCCCCACACTCAGCCCCTCTCATCCATTGAGCTCAGTGGCAGAGTCTCAGACCTGGGCTCACTGGCCTGCACCTGACGTGAAGCCCTTCCCTTCCGAACCCACCTCACTCAAGACACTCCGATCCTCCTCATTAGTTGTTGTTAGGTGGTCTCCAATTGGTTCAGACTCCAGCGACCCTACTATATACAACAGAAGGAAACACTGGTCCTGAACTATCCTCACAATTGTTATATCTGAGCCCAGTGTTGCATCTACTGTGTTAATCCTCCCTTGTGTCTTTCTCCAGGGACTTGTCCCGCCTAATAACTTGGCGGAAATATGTGAGATAGAAGTCTCACCATCCACCATCCTAAGGAATGTTCTGGCTGTATTTATTATGAAACACATTTGTTAGTTTTTCTGGCAGTCTGTGGTATATACCATATTTACTAACACCATAAATCAAATATATCAGTTCTGTCTTCCTTACGCATGCATGTGAGATGATTGAAAATTCCATAACTTGGGTAAGGCACACCTTAAGTCCTCAAAGTGACAGCTTTGCTCTTTAACACATTAAAGCAGTCTTTTGCAGTAGATTTGCCCAATTAATACGTAGTTTGATTTCTTGACTGCTGCTTCTATGGGTGTTGATTGTGGATCCAAGTAAAACAAAATGTTTCACAAAATGTTTAAAACAAAATATTTATCCTGATGTTGCTTATTGGTCCGGTTGTGAGGATTGTTATTTTCTTTATGTTCAGGTGAAATCCCTACTGAAGGCCTTTGAGCTTCCCAGTAAGCGCTTCAAGTTCTCTTTGCTTTCAGCCAGCAAGGTTGTATCTATCGCCTGCATATCGCAGGTTGTAATGAGTCTTCCTCCAAACCTGATGCCACATCCTTCTTCAAATAGACCACTTTTTCAGCTCATTTGCTAGTGTTCATATAGTCCATTATCTCAGATTATTTGCTTAGAATTTGTGTTTTCAGGGGCCATTGAGTCCGTTTCAAAGCTTAGTGACACTGCGTTCCACAGAATGAAACACTGCCCGATCCTGCACCATTCTCACGATTGTTTGAGTCCATTGTTATTGGCCACTATCAATCCATCTCCTTGGGAGTCTTCCTCTTTCTCGCTGACCCTCCACATTTCAAAGCATGATGTCTTCCAGGAATTCATCCCTTCTAATAACATGTCCAAAGTATGAGAGACAAAGTCTTGCCATTCTCTCTTTCTTATAAGGAACATTCTGGCTCTACTTTTTCCAAAACAAATTTGTTCTTAAGGCAATCCATTACTAGTTTCAGTATTCTTCAACACCATAGTTCTCAAAGTGCCAGAGATTATTTTACGGTCTTCCATATTCATTGTCCACTTTCACATTCATATCAGGTGATTGAAAATACTATCGCTTGGGTCAGTCATGTCTTAGTCCTCAAAATGACATTTTGCTCTTAAACTATACAGAGGTCTTTTGCAGCAGATTTGCCTAATACAATAAAAATACATCCTTTGATTTCTTAACTGCTGCTTCCATAGCATTGATGGTGGATCAAGCAAAATGAAGTCTTTGACAACTCCAATCTTTTCTCTGTTATTTATTGGTCCAGTTGTAAGGATTTTTCTTTTCAAATTTAGGTGCAATCCATATTGAAGGCAATGGTTTTTTATCTTTATCAATAAGTATTAAGCCTTCCCTCTTAACTTCCAGCAAGTAAAGTTGTGCTGTCTGCATATCGCAGGTTGTCTAACAAGTCTTCCTCCAATCGTGTATAATATATAATCCAGCTTCCCAATAGACAGTTTGAATCAATATGGTGAAAGGATTCAACCCTAGGTTACACTGTTCGTGATTTTAAACCGTTAGTATTCCCTTGTTCTGTTCAAACAACTGCCTCTTATTCATCCCACAACACTCTGGTCTCCGGTCATTAGTGTCTAATGCATCAAATGGTCTCTAAATTCAGGTGGGGCACTGCAGGATAAAGGTCAGTTTGAATCAAAAGGTTGGTGGTTCAAACTCACCAGCTGCTCTTTGCAAACCCTATATAGGTTTGAGTCAGAACTGACTTGGCGGCACTTAACAACAATAATACTTGATCATATTTTCAGTCTCGTGGACTTGTTTTCATTTTCTTCCACTTCAGCCTGAACTTGCATATAAGCAATCGATGGTCTGTTCCACAGTCTGCCCCTGACCTTGTTTTGGCTGATGATATGGAGCTTTTCCACTGTCTCTTCCCACAGATGTAGTCAATTTGATTTCTGTGTATCTTCATCTGGTGAGGTCCAAGTTGCCTTTTATGTTGTTAATAAGTTGTTGGTCTTGCAGAATTCTGTCTTGCGATCTCCAACATCATTTTTATCACTAAAGCCATATTTTCCAGCTAGTGATGCTTTGTCTTTGTTTCAAACTTTGCATTCACCAGTAATTATTAATGCGTCTTGATTGCATGTGTGATCAATTTCAGACTGAAGAAGTTGATAGAATTCTTCAATTTCATCATCACTGGCTTTAGTGATTGGCACATAAATTTTAACAATAGTGGTCTTCATTTTAAGTATATAGATATTATTCTATCACAGACAGAACT